TCGGGGCCCCTCCAGCCTGCCCACAGCTTTTTTGTACAGTGGGGACCAGAACTGCACCCAGGATTCCAGGTGTGGCCTGGCCAGCGCTGAGCAGACTGGGATGAGGACTCCTTTACCTCTGCTGGTGATGCCCTTGGTGATGCCCCCCAGCACCCTGTTGGCCACCTTGGCTGCAGCAGCACCCTGCTCACTCCTATGGAGGGTTTTGGCAACCAGGACCCCAGGTCCCTTCCCACGAGCTGCTCTCCAGCCGGGTGGATCCCAGTCTGTGCTGCCCTCCTGGATTGTGTTTTCCCAGGTGCAAGACCTTACACTTGTCCATGTTGAACTTCCTAAGGTTCTTGCTAGCCCACTCTTCCAGCCTCTCCATAGTTTGACTGTCCTGTGCCGAATTGGTATATTCAGGCTACGTGACCAGCTGTTACTTAATTCCCATCCCCGCTTTGTCCGTTGTAACAAGACCATTTAAAACTCTAAATCACCTGAAACTAGAAGCCTTGCTTTAGGACTAGATTTCTTTAAGTGTCTAGGCTCATCCACTGAGGCTGTGTGTTCATTCCTGGGACATCCTGTATATTCCCATATTTCTTTTTAGAAAGGAGCAAGTGATGTTCCCCTTCCTTTGCTTGCCATTTATCTTCCCGCTCTTGCGTGGGATTCAGATTTAATCTGATCAGAAACTGCTGTCAGTTAGGTGTCTGACCAGAGGACGTTCCAGATGAAGACAACCAGTGCCTGTGTCTCTATTTCCAGTTGGATGTGAATTGGCTAAACCTGCCTGAACCTGAAGCTTTTTCTCAGGCTGCAGTGTTGTTTGACAGCAGCTATTTACAAGGTGAATACAAAAGAGATGGACAAGAGATGAAAAACCTGAAGCTGGTCCCAGGAATTGCTGTGGGCTTTCAGAGGAAAACAGCTGCCTTGGTGGTGGGGAGGAAACAGAAATGATTCTTCGTGCAAAAAGTAACATTTTCTAGAGGTGCGATTTTCCTGGGCCTTGTGAGATGACCTGAAATGGTGAGGGCTGGTGAGCATGCTGCAGCCATATGTATAAGGGCTGGGTAATGTATATGTTGTGGTTTTCTTTTTTCTTATAGTGTCGTCTAGATTGTCGCAGACGTCCTCCCCACAGTCAGGCTGCCCGTCGCCTTCCATCCAGACAGGCAAAGTCATCTCCTCGTCCCAGAAGCACAGCAAGAAGGCACTCAAACAGGTAAGCGGCCTTGTCCGGAACCTCGTTTAGGCATCGTTGCAGTAAATTTATTTCTCTGGCAAATCATCTTTCTCAGTGAAACCACACTCTGCAGGGAAGTAATTCAGGGCTTCCTGGGTGTCTCACACAGGGGGTTGCTGAAGCATCCCTCTCTCTTAAAGGCGATTCAAATTATTGTGCTATTTAGTTCTTTGCTTTTTCCCTAAATAAGCATCTGGACATTTTTTTGGGTTTATTTCAAAGAACGGATATAGGATGTTCTTTCTTTTCACTTTTGATGAGTGTGCTTAGCTTTCTGCGGTCTGTTTTAGTAAAGGAAAGGTCTTTTGGGGAAAAGAATTAAATCCACGGACTTCTTCCCCTCGTTAGTGGCATCGTTTCCCTTCCAAGGAATTCTGTGGGTGCGGTGCATGTGGGTGGATGGAGAGCCCACTGGCTTTGCGTGGCACCTCTGCTGGGTGTTAGGAGGGAAGGAGGAGGACTGGTTATTGTCCGTGCTCGGGGAATGACTGTCGTGGAGGTGGTGTTAACTGTGTGCGCGCAGGATGGAGCGGGTGTTTGTACTTCAAATGGTTTGCTTCTCCTAATGAAAAATTGCAAGATGAAGTAGTCCCCTGAGTGTCTTATTTGCAGGTGTTTCCCCAACTGCATTGTTTAGTTTTCCATGATCCTTAGAAAGGAAATGCTTTATCAGGGTTAGATTTACTCCTTAGTAAAGTAAAAATCTGTAAGGAGCAATGAATCAAGTCGCAGAGGAGGTGCTAGTCCAGGGATCACGGAAGCTTGTCGCAGGCAGATGAAATCGTGATGTGTTCCAGGCAGGATTTACCTTTTCCAGCCCAGCCTGTTTTCCTGACCTTTTCCAGCTGTGAAGCAACACTCGGGATGGCATTCAGCTCACAGAGGCGCCTGTGGCCCTGGGGGAGGGATCTGCAGTGAGAGAGAAGGAGCTAATTAGGGCATATTATTGAGGAGAGTATTACAGGGGAAGATGAGGCAGCTGGATAAGCTGGAGCTTTGTTTCCAGCTAGAGAGGGCTGAGTTGATGTCAAAATGAGATGCCAGCTCTAGGGAATCTTCTCTCTTCTTCCTTCTCCACTCGGCTGGTCCTTGGCAGAAGCATCAGTGTTTCTGTGATGTTCCTCGCTGCTGATAGCCGCAATAAAGCGGCGAGATTGTGTTGTCACTTTAGGCAGATTTTCTTCTGAAGTTCAGAGGCAAGCTTCCACTTTCATTTGAATCCTCGGAAAATTGCTTCTCACTCATTCAGCAAGATATTAATTATACTCTTCGCTTCCCCATCCTCATCCCTCTTTAAGCCTGGCTGGCAATCATTTCTCTCCAACATCCGCAAAGGCTTTTCTCTTTCAAGAGCATGATCAAACAGACTCAGGGTTTGTTGCAAACAGTCCTCTTGCCCCTCTCCTGCTCAGCAGTTCCTCTTCATTATCTCTCGCCTGGAGGTCCCTGTTTCACACAATCACAGGCTGGAAGGGACCTCTGGGCAAAGCCACACTCCGTTGCCAAACCTACGCTATTCCAAACCTACACTCCCATCTACTTTTCTCCTCTCTTCCCAGCCCCTGTCCGTACATGCCTAATAATTTTCTGCTTTTCGTCTCTGAATTCCCCGTGTTCCTGCTCCCACCAGCCCTCCCCCAGCCTTGTATTCATTCCCCTCTGTCCCTGCTCTCTCCCTCCTCCGCCCCCCAGCTTTCTTATTCTGAGATGTCTGCTTCCCGAGCGTCCTTGTTCCAGCGCCGTCTCTGAATGTAGTGAAATATGTCAGAGCCAGTGAGTTCCAAAATCGAGACAGTGCTCTCAGTTTCACTGTTCGTCTCATTGGTTTGGGGGAAAAAAAAATAATCAGAAACCCTGAAAGAGAAATAGGGAACCCCGTGGAGGCCTTGACGTCTGCATAGCATACCTGTTCGTACTTAACAGTTCTGCAGCTCTCTGCAGAGCAAAAAGGTGTTTCTGGTGGTCATCGTCTTCCTTCACAACAGCTCTTCTGCCTGAACTCAACTCCTGTGGCCCAGAGTAGAGCATCAGATTGTAGCACAGGTGGGCCTGTGGGAACCTCATGAGGTTCAACAAGGCCAAGTGCAAGGTTCTGCACCTGGGTCGGGGTAACCCCCGGGATCCATACAGGCTGGGGGGTGAAGGGATGGAGAGCAGCCCTGCCGAGAGGGACTTGGGGGCACTGATGGATGAAAAGCTGGGCATGAGCCGGCCATGGGCGCTGGCAGCCCAGAAGCCAACCCTACCCTGGGCTGCATCAGGAGAAGCGTGGCCAGCGTCGAGGG